TGGAAAGAAGAAGCACTCCTTGTGGTCTTGCTGAGACCATGTTCATCCCATAAGATTCCATGATTCGATCAAATTTGAGTAACACTGTACTTGAAGCTAGCAGTGCCTTATAAGTTATACACAATATATGAGGAATGACATAAGCCATGAACCCAACATTAATTTCCAGTCTCATTAAAAAAAATGAATTTTTGTGAAAATTATGGCAAGAATTAATTCGCTCATATGCACTTTGAATTAAATAGTAAAATGTAGATAATTATTTAAACGAATTCACATAATTTTTTTTATTTTTTTAATAAACGAATTCACAAACAAGCATATGCTTTTATTTATCTACTTGTGTTTTAAAAAAGTTTAAACCATTTTAATCAACTATTATTTTACTTTTCATTTAGTTATAAACTACATCACAACACCTGTGTCTAACTTGACTTTGTTCGTATTGCTACAATTGTTTGCAAATAGTGAACACTAATTAATATCCAAAGAAAAAATGTAAAGTCTTCTGACACAAACACAATATGTTTTAGTATGTTAAATTCGTTTGTCATAATTAAGATAAATTTGGTGCATAAAGCTCCCCAATATTACAAGCGTAGAAGTGAGGATTGATTGTAGTAGTTTTACCCTTATATTTTGCAAAGATAATATTTTATAAATTCTAAATATAAGTCACAAAGAGCAATCTTAGAGCTGCTCTAAGGTTAGATTCGCTAGTCATATAAATAAAAAAATATATTAAATTGATGATCATTCATTATCATTAGTTACTTTTATGATTTTTTTCTGAATTTTATTATTTGTAGACTCTTTTTATACCAAGAAAAAATCAAAGTATTTAAGGCGCAAATGACCTTAAGACGGTGGGTAATAACAAAAAATAAAATAAAATAAATAGTAGATAGAACAAAAAAGATATCCTTGATCTGTGGCGCGCGCTCTCTCTCTCACAACATGCAAAAAACTTCCCTAAAAACCACAATTCTTAAATTAATTTATGAAAAATACTACTCTCATGTTATATGAGATAATTTTTCTCATACACTCACAACTTATAGAAAAGAGGTGAGAGAATAAAGGAGAAAATAAAAATAAAGAGTGGGCCTATCTTTGATTTGTGAGTGCATGAGAGAAAAATTCTCTCATATCACATAAGAATAATATTTTTCTTAATTTATATTCCTAAATGGGACACCGATTATGACATGGAGCCACTTAAGCGTAATAAAAAAGGCCTCAAAAATGAAAGCCGACAATATTCCTAGGCTCGTACGAAAATATGATATGCATTTGACACATTCTAGTATCATCACTAATTCGCTTCCTTAATTAGGTGGTCTTTCAATCTTGTTTACTACTAATAGTAATTAAGAATATTAATATATAATAAGTGTTTCAAACACATCAAGTGTTTTCAAAGCACTTGACATGGTATATTATTGGCATACAACTAACAGATTGAGAAGATGCACAGTTTGTGCCTGTATAAATGCTAAGTGATTTGACCAAGCAGATTATACGTACCACTTTTTCCCAATCAGAAGATGTATACCACTTTTCAGTTTTCGCATTCATTGACCCTTATATATATATCCATTCAAAATGAATGCCCCTTTCTACCCTAATGTATTTACAAGCCAACTCTTTATACCCGGGGTGAAAGGTTACACCAATTGCAACTTCAACAATACCAATGTAGATGAAGTTCAAATTTACCCAATCCAATTACTTTTTGAAGGTGTCATAATTAATAATTGTACCCATTAGGTGAACCTAAAGAGTTGAGATGCCCACGATGACAAGGCGATTCTTAAGGGTAGGGGCAAAAGGAAGTGGCCTTAAATAGGGTTTATTGCACATGAGATTCTTGAGAAGTCACACACACACTCACTCTCACACACATCACACATATGAATGTTAAGGTATTGTCAATTCGTGGATGGGGCTATATATGAGTAGCAATTTAGCGTTATGCTTTTGAAGCCAAATGAACATCTTACAAATTGCTTTCAATGCCTTGATATGAGGGTTTGGTGGGGTTGAAGTGATTAGCATCAACGAATCGAACAAATCCCCTTGTCTATGTCTGAAAGAGACCTAATCCCCACTCGCATAACGCGTTTTGTTTGATCTGTGTTAAGTAACATTTTATTTGCAATTTTGGCCAAAATACAAATACTATAGCTAGTACTGTTGCTAACTGAGATCTTTTAATTATTAGGAGGTATTTAACATATGCTTTATCTCTAGAGATGCTTAACCTACCCTTTCTTTGATTGTCCTATTATGTTTGAAACAGATTCATTTCTAAAGATATCCATGTGTTCTACTTTTCTTTTTGTCTATTGAAGTTTAGGATATGTTTTAGCTTTTAAAAAAAAATCATTATGCTTCTTTTTCTTCTTTCTTTTTTATATTATTGAATATTTTAATTAAATGATTCTTTCAAGTTTCGGGTAAGGGCAGAGTTTTCTCTTCAAAAAAGTTCCAAGACAAATATGTTTTAAATAGTATTTCATGTCTCGAGAAATTCTTATCTAGTACTAGCATAGGTAAAATCACTTATTATGTTGTTGCAAAAGAAAAAAAAATTAGTAACCAATTACAATTATATCTTAACGATAAGATATAATTATAATTTTAAAAGCTATTTTTTTTTTCTCTTTTCATAAGATTGTCGGCTAACTTAGAGGAGAGAGAAAGATATTTTTTTTTGAAATATTACAGTCGGTTCATAGCTTCGCGACTAATCCGATTCGAAGCGATTCTGAGATTAAAGCTTTACACCCCTACCATCTATAGGAGGGGTTTAAAACTTTCATCTCGAAATCCGCTCCAAATCGGACTAGTCACGAAGCTATAAACTGATTGAAATATCTCTAAAAAAAAAGTTGTAATTGGTGGCTGCAGAGAAAAAACTTTAATATTATAATTATATTTTATCGATAAGACCTAATTGTAATAGGTGGCTGGAGAGAATAATTTTTTGCAGTAATATGAGAAATTGGGACCCGTTAGCATATTACATTAACTATACGTCTATACTGAATATTACACGTCGCACAAAAATTAGATTTGTATTATTATTATTTAAAATCTAATTAAACAATTATTATATCGAGGTTCCAACTACCAAAGAATAGGTATATTTGTTCTCTATTTATATGAGGATGAATCCTAGGTGTAATTTAACATAATCAGATTATGTGAGATAATTTTAATTATTTTTGGTCAATCAATGGTTATATTTTTGTTTTTTTCCTATTCTAACATTTTCCCGGTCTCATTTCTCATTATTGTTGATTTAACTATGAATGGTTAAGATTCACATGATAATGTTAAATAACACATTGTATTGGTCTCATGGGAGTTATATGGAAGATGGTCATGTCCATGTATCTTACTCTAAAAGTGGAAATAAGACAGACTTCCGGAGCATGAACGTTGGGTCCATTTTAGCTTAATTAATTCACATGAGGAAAACAAAACTTCTTGCTAGTACAACTTGTGTGCTAGGTACAACATTATAGCATTGATTAATATCAAGCAAAATATGCTAGCATTTTGGGACTTTTTCCCCCAGGGTCTCTTAATTAATCATAAGGACAAGTATAAACTTTTTGTCATCAACAACATTTTCACAAGTTTTTAGAATTTGATTTTCAAAAAAAAAAAAAAAAAAAATCTCAGCTTAAATACACTAATAATGTCAAACAAATATAACAGCATCAAGAAAAAAAGAAAGAAGAGGTTAATCTACTTCATCAGAACTCAGAAGACCTGCAATGTTGAATTGAAGAACTTGAAGGCTGATCAGATTATTTCTCATATTTATTATGCTATTAAATATCAATATGAATACATAATTATTATTTTGATGATATATATAGTATATGCCAGATTAAGTGGCAGTGTAGAATCATCCTAAGCTTGAATAATTTTAAAGATGACAGTAACTTGGGTTAGAACTTAAAAGTTGGGCTTAAATTACTAATTAATATACAAGAGCGCTTTTCTCTTCATGATATATACAAAACTAAATTACACAATCATGTTTAAGGAGGAAAAGGAAATAAAAAATAAAAATAAACATTGGTGAATTTTATTTTAGTATATATACGATTAGATAAGATATTATATATATATATATATATATATATATATATATATATATCCTTTTTTTTACATATTTTATCTATATATCCTTTTTTTTACATATTTTATCTATTTTTCTCTAATATCATTAGATCATAATTTCAACTGATGTTTATAATTTTTTTTCTTTCTTTTTTAAAATTTTTGATAGAAAAAATTAATCATTAAAAAAAGTAAGCATTATATGCTATGATATCCCACTGATTTTTTTGTACAAGTTATTGGTCAACCTGCAAAGCTTTCATCATTATTAGGCTAACCAATTTTGGGCTAAACAGACTTGGCAGCCAGTGGTTAGTGCATTACCACAAATAATGCTATCTGGTGTAGACTCTGAAGACCCTTCACATGGGCGCGTGTATGCACATAGGGCGCGTGAGCGTGCATAGAACTTCCTTTCTTGCCCTAAACTGCATCAATTAAAAATATGCACCTAAGAGAGAAAAAAAAATAAAAAAAAGAAGAAGAAGAAAGTGCCATATTTACTAAAATTAAATTGGAAAAAGAGAATGAGATAAAAATAAGAATAACTTGGGTTTCCATTTTTTTGTAAAAGAATATCAAGTGTGTCCCCTTTTTTTCTGTGATTCATTGTCTATTTCTATATAACACACTAGCTTCCACTTCTCTGAAACATAGCCATTATCTCACAACTACTTACTTTGCATCTTCTCTCTCTCTCTCTCTCTCTCTCTCTCTCTCTCTCTCTCTCACTTTTTTCTATATTGTACTAAAATCTCATTCTCTTCTTATTCTATACATTCCAGAATAGAGAGAAACTGAAAATCAGAAAAACCAATTTTATTTTTTCTAATAAAAATATAAACTTTGTTATTGTTTCGAGACACACAGAAAAAGAGAGAATGGGAAGAGGGAGGGTTGAACTGAAGAGGATAGAGAACAAAATCAACCGCCAGGTTACATTCTCCAAAAGAAGGAACGGTTTGCTCAAGAAAGCTTATGAGCTTTCAGTTCTCTGTGATGCTGAGGTTGCTCTTATAATCTTCTCTAGCCGTGGGAAGCTCTATGAATTTGGAAGTGTTGGGTATTTCACTATCTCTCTCTAATTTGCAAAAATCTCACCTTTAATTTGTGTGTGTGTTTTTTTTATGTACATTTTTGTTTATCTATTTTGTGAAGTTTCATGTCCATTTTTGTTAGGTGCAAATCCCAATAGGTATTAAAACCCTTCTTTTTCTTTTTAGTTTTTGTGTGTGTGTGTGTGTGTTTTTTTTTTCTGATGCATATGCTGAGATAGCCTTCTTCTCTTCTCTGTGCAATTCACTTTCTTCTTTGCATCAGCTTCTTTCACCAAAATGGTTACTGGTGTTTCTGCTTTTGATGTTTTTAAGATTTAACTTCACACCTTTGATAACTTTTCACCCACTAGTTTTTCTTTTCTTTTCTTTTCTTTTCTATCAGTCATCATTCATAGTTTCTTTCTCTAACACATGCACCTGACACCATCTTGGCCTCTTCTGGATCAGTGGATCTAATACCTTCCATATGATATATTTCTCTTTCTTCTTCTTTTTCTCTCTTTTAAATTGTGGGGTTTTTTAATTCCCTTAGTTTTTTTTTAAAAAAAATGTGGGGTTTCAGTTATTTTGGAAGGATGAAGTTTCATGAGTTATAGAAGATAAAATATGATGAGTTTTTTTGCTCCCAATCACAGATCGACACGTTTCATAGTCCTTCCACCTGATATCTCTATTGTGGGTTCAATTTTCATGCTCTATTGATGGAATAGTACAATCTATTTTCCTTCTTTCTCAGAATTAAAGAAGAAACAAAAAACAAAAAAAGAGAGGAAGAAAGCAATCATATGATCATATGAATGGACAATACAGTTTTGTATCATAGTGTAATGGCAAAGTCCAAGGATATGTTCACTCTCTTGTACCGTTGTGCAAGATCTAGGGCTATGACCCCAATACCTTCCCTCAAAAATATAAAAAATTTAGAGCCTTAAAATTTTTACACTCTATAGAGTGTTGGAGTTCTTCATCACCTTCTTGTCCATATCCCTTTTTATCTTTTGATCTTTTGGTTCTATCATTGTATCTTCTCTCATCAGAAAATGCTCTATTCTCTATCTGTGTCCCAAAAACAATTGCAGTGTTTATCCCAAAGTTGCAATCAGAGATATAGGTGCTGCTTCCCTTCTTGTCTTTTGCTATTAGGTCTTTTTAGATCAATTGGTTCTCTCTCTCTCTCTCTCTCTCTCTCTCTCTCTCTCTCTCTCTCTCTCTCTCTTGTTTTTGTTACAGTTAATTTGGTTTTGTAATTACGTTCCTCTGCATGATAATGATGATATGGTTTTATCAATAATTGGTCAAAATTAAAAACGTGAAACAACTTTTATTTTTAATTATTTTTTCTTTCTTGCTGGTACTATAATAGGTTTATATATCTTTGTCTGTTGAAGGCATGGCTTGTAAAAGTTATATATGAAAAGTGAAAGGAGAGGAAAAGATAAAAAGACCAAATATGTTTCACTATTTTTTTTTTAATATTTAACCTAACATTGTAACATATTTAACAGTGAATTTGAGGACTTCCATGCCAAGATTCTGTGCAGCTGAAATCATGAGTTAATGGTCAAGATTAGGGATCCAGAAACTGTGTTTTGTTTTACTGTTTTGAATTGTGTGTTATTCTCTCTCATATTCCAGAACTTATTTTTCTCCATAAACAAATTTAGGTTTCCTTGAAGAAGTCCATATAAGAAAATCTTCAGAAATTATGTGCACATCCTGATTTATTTTCAGTCAGCTTTGTTTCCCTCTCCCCTAGACTAGAAAATAATAATATAATGTTGATTTTTTTTAAGGTTATTTTTTGTTTCCAAGAGACACTCTTTGTTTCATCTATATATGTTTATGCAATTTCATAAATCTATAAATTATATGTTCACCTAAAGAAAATACGAAATGAATGAAAGGTCTGATTTGTGAAAAAGCAAACAAAATTTCGTAAAATAATTGACAAAAATAATTTATTAGTGCACATTACGAATTTCTTTGTATGGATATTTGATATATGACATTTCTCCAAAAACAAAATGAATGTTACCGAATATTTGTAAGAATGAGTTGTTTAAACAGTTTAAGTATGAAATTACCCAAAATAAAAAAAAAAAAAAAAAATCAATACAATGTGTTTTGTGCACATATACATTTTTTAATGAAGAAAATAAATTTGTAACTTATACTCAAAATTCATTTTATATAAAAATTTATTTGAAAACGCTTTTTCCAAACATCAATTTGGACCAAATTCACAATGCATTATTCAGTGAAAAACTAGTATGCCCTATATTATATAATTAGAGTTTTGTCAGCTGTATATGCCTATCCTTAACTTAGTGGTCATCATTTCACTTATTACTTAGCATTTCACTTTCCAGAATAACAATTTGTTTCAAACTAATAGACCCGGGTTTCCTTTAATATTTGCAGCATTACCAAATCTATTGAACGATACCAAAGGTGCTCTTTTACTCCTCAAGAGGACCATGTTGAATGTGAAACTCAGGTATATATGTGTGTTACCAACTCTTTCTGAAATTAAGGACTTCTTTCCGTCCATTAGCAAGTATACCACAATTCTTTAACCTGAAAAATGAAGTACTTTTTTTCTTAAAAAGAAAGCAAAAAGATATGATAATGTAACAAAATATATAACAAAAGATAATTAGATCTTATTAGTGAATCATTTATGATTTTTTGTTTAAACAATCAGAGCTGGTACCAAGAGGTGTCAAAGCTAAAGGCAAAGTATGAGTCTCTTCAAAGGACTCAGAGGTAATCATTTATATGCCCCTTCTAATCAATCACTAATATTTTCTTGTTTACAACAGTTACATATGTAAATGCATGTTAATCACAAGCATAAATGAGTTGATCTGGTAACAGATCACCACATGTCAAAATTTACTTTCCAATGTAATGTCATTTCATCAGGCATTTGCTTGGGGAAGATCTTGGACCGTTGAGCATAAAGGAGCTTCAGAATCTTGAGAAACAGCTTGAAGGAGCTTTAGCACAAGCTAGGCAAAGGAAGGTGTGAACACATCTAGGAATTCTCCATACATAAAGCTCTATCTATATTTCTGTTTGGTACTTTGCCTTTGGTTGTAAAACATTCCTACAAGAGCTATTAACAATTTGTATATGTATACAAGTTTAACTTGATTAAAATAGTATAAAGGTTGTAATATACTGAAATAACTCTTAGTGAAATCTTTTGATTTATATATATAGAGAGATATTAGATGATCATATACTTGAAATTTTATTTCAATTGCAGACACAAATTATGATTGAACAAATGGAAGAGCTTCGCAGAAGGGTAAGAAATGTTTCACAATCTTTTTGGTGTTATAATATTATTTTTGTTATCGGTAGTCAAATTAATTTTTTAACAGGTCAATTATTGATTAAGTATATGAATTTTTAAGCCATTTTGAACACTTAAATTTACATTGTGAGTCATTGCAGGAACGCCATCTTGGGGACATGAATAAGCAACTTAAAGTCAAGGTTTTGCAATATAGCACCCAACAATTTCAATATAGTGTGCACCATTCTAGTGCAGGATACATATGTCTTAGTTATTTTTTTTATTTTTATTTTTCAATTAATTAACTCATTCTAATTTCTTTATTAACTCTTTCTTCAAAACTCCATTTTCAGCTTGAAGCAGAGGGATTTAATCTTAAAGCTATGGAAAACTTGTGGAGCTCTACTTCAGCTGCAGGAAACAGCAGCTTTCCCTTTCAGCCTTCTCAAACCAACCCTATGGATTGCCAACCAGAACCTTTTTTGCAAATAGGGTATATTTGAAATCTCCTCTTTGCATATGATTATTGCACCTTAAGTTAATGAGACAAATAATTGGTCTCTAGTGTTCATAATTTTTAACTTAAGCTAATGTTAAATAAAGTTAACATTTCAAGATCGGATGTGGTTCTTAGGCTGATAATTTGTCCAACAACTAACTCTCACACTTCAAACCCATAACCTAAAACAAATTTTGCAAGATAATGATTTAAAATATGAACATATAATAGTATATACTAATGTAGGGGATTAATGTTTCTCCAACACACATGTAGGAATGGATGAGGCCAGTGAAAAGAAGAGAGAAAAAGGGACTCACTTTTTTTTATTTGTGTGTAAGAAATAAAGTTATTTCGCATTTGCAGGAAAAACCCTATTCTTTTAATGTAAAAATAAAGATGTAAAAGATAAATTTCCTGCTAACTGTTTGGTCAAATTTATGCCATTTCAAGAGGCAAACTGGTGTAAGTGGTGTCCCAAAATAGAAGCAATCAAAATCATGAACTTTCAATGGTCAGAAATTCTAATTCAACCTCATCTTTTGAATAGGTACCATCACTATGTTCAAGCTGAGGCATCTAATGTTCCAAAGAGCATGGCTTGTGAGACAAACTTTATGCAGGGATGGTTCCTTTGATCACTTTTACCTAATAGAGTATATGATTTATACGCTTTTTATATTTGTGTTTTGGTTGTTGTTATCAGCATAAAATGTATCTTTGTGACCAGCATGGGAAGTTGCAGACTTTAATTTTCTAGCTTCTTCTGTAATTGGATACAAGTATAGACAATGGTTTTACTATATTTAAAGCAATGTTATTGTTTGAACTTTGAAGTTTGAACCTATATAGGTATATGTATCCATTTCTCTCTACCTCCCCAGGAAAACACTTATCTATGTTTGGGTTTTTGAAGGGGAAAGATAGTGAAAAAAATCCAAAGGAAAAAAAACAAAGGCAAAAAGGAATAGGAATAGTTGCTGAGTATTGAGTTTCATTCTTTTTATTACTTGGTTGTTTAGAATCTTATAACATTCTCAAAATTAGGAGAAATTTTTTATTAAAACCTTTCATTCTCTGTCATTTTCGTGTCTTCTCCACTCAAATATCTCCTAACTGGCTAAGCCATGTAAAAAAAGGACTTTTTATACATTACTTATTTTAGAAGTATTTTTTTACAGAAGCTAAAACTATTTAATTTTTTTAAAAAAATTATTTTGTTTTTGAAAAAATATTTGCCTTTTGACTTACTATTTTTAAAATCTAAAATTTTTAGTTTTTAAAAAAGAAAATTTTAGTTTTTTTTTTAAGTAAACATCCAAACGAATTTTGTATTAAAAGTATTTAAAAAAAAAAAAAAGAAGAAATAGCTTTTGGCTAAAAACAATTTCATCAAAACGAGCCCTTAAGTGTGAATTGTGGAACGGATAAAAATACAAGCCAATAAACAGAAAATTAATAACCATATCTATTAATTTTAATATATATATATATATATATATATATATATATATATATATATTTAAATAAATATGCAATATGAGAAACAATGAAATTAATTAAGATTATAGGAAGTATATTTTTGGCAATGAGTTCATGGTTTCTCTTATCTTTTCAACTCATTTATGATTATGTTTTAAAAAAATGAATTGAATTATCCGCAAATATATTTGGTAGCGAATTAAGTTTCAGATAAATAATTCTTAGATTGATACGGTATCCTCATATAACATGTCAAATTGGCATGCTAATCATATTCGAAATCCTAAATCAATGTTTGGATTCGCGAAGATGTGTTTCCAATTACAATGCATTTTGGGTGATATTTCGGAATAAGCTCAAATTTGATCAGGTTCTTGGTATTGATCTTCTGAGCAAGACTCATCACTTTACACGAACTCAAGCATTTTTAGAATTGTTTTCATTGAATTTTTATTTTTTTCTATTTTTTTTTATCTTTTTATTTTTGTATGGACAATTCCGTAATTTCAATTTTTTTTCTTTTTGTTGTCTATTTATTTAATTATTTTTTATTAAATAAAAATATTATAGAGAATTACGGCTACACTAAATCCTATTCATTCTGTTTAGTAAATTCCACATATGCTTTAACATTAAATTAAGGATTTACCAGTTTCATTTTGCAACCAAGTTTTCATTTTTCATGTGCAAAACTTATTTTGGACATTCGTCATATTATTCATGCAACTTTCTCATTTTGTTCGGGTGGCTAAAGACAGTGTAATTTTATTTTTTTAAGTCTATATCAGTCGTCTTTATACGTACCCTTTGAACTCTCACTAGTGATTCTGTATAAATGGTGCATGTTCAAATATTTGTCAATTAAATTACAACTCGTGGTTGTAGTAGTGAAAATTTGGAGCTAGCTATATAAATACAATCAAGAATTATGCATTTTTATAACTTTTTTTTTGGAATGACAACTTTTTAAAATAAATTTCAAAAAGCAATAAAAAAATAAATCCAAACACGCTAAGTATGCTTTGATTAGATTTCATAAACCTGATTTTGCATGAGTTTATCTTGCTAAAATTAAAGTGAAGTAATTTACGTTATTTAGATACCGTATATATAGATCACTTGTAAAAAAATACCTTAAATTGATGTTACTTTTTGTAATATATTTTTTGGTCAAATTACTTTATGTATGTTTAATTTAAGAAGTAAAAAATAAACATCAAACCTGATTTTAGAACAGAAAAATTGCAATTTTTCAATCGAGATTCTAACTAAATTCTAGCCTAAAACATCATATTTATTTCTTTCTTAACGTCTCATTTTATTAAAGTATCTTAAAAAAAAAAAAAAAAGTACCCCAAATATCCATGCACTCCTGACACATGAGAAAGTTAACGTACTTGGTTGTCTATATTGGTTTCTAAACTCTGCTTTGAATCAGATAGGTGCTCCATTTAACACTCGGGTTTCTTCAATAGAACATGGTTCCTCCCTTCAATATTCCATCTAAGAAACTCACTTAACACATTTCTCCTTTTTTTTTTTTTTTTTTTTTGAAAGTTACTTATATTTGTAACTGGTGGTAGCAATATATGTAACTCCTAGAGATCAAGCTGGTTACAAGTTCATCTTTTGGTATGCCTTCTAGCTCTTCTCTTTGATTTTATTGATACCCTTTTTATTGATACCATTTCTGGTTATTTGGCTGATTGGTATGTTAACCATGAATATTTTTGTTTTTATTGGTTTTTGTCTCTGGAAAAAATGTCTACTCATTTTTTTGTGTAGCTCTCTCTTTCCATACTAATTTTGATTACTAAGCTAGGTTGTATGAAACAAATGGGGCTTGTTGATTTCAACAGTTTCTCTTTTGAATTTGGTATAGTGCTTTAGTTATTATGCTCTTTTTATTTTTTATTTTTTTATTTTAAAAAGAAACCAAAGTTGTATTTCTCTTGTTTCATCAAATGCCTGTTTTGATGGTTGTGTTTAAGTATTAGCTTGTTGAGTTTCGTAGTTTAAATTCTCTGTCTGGTATAGTTCTTTGTAGTTAGTTACCCTGTTTCTGGTTGTTTCTAGAGCCCACAATCTTGGACTGAGGAGGTTTTTCTCACTTCAAAATCCCATTTTGTCTTGTGTTTTTGAGTTTTATTATAATGTCTAGTTTGAATGCCAAAGCTCGTTCTTTCTTTAATTCTCTTTTACTCTTCTTATTCTTCTATCTCTTTGTGTCTTTTTGATTCTAGGACATTCTTGGAAGTTGGAAGGTAAAAGTTATTAAGATTTCAGTGGAAAAAATTATCGAATTTCTAACAACTTGTTAAAAATATGGGCATATTAGCTGTTAACGTGTGCGAGCGTACTTCTCGGGTTGGAAGCATCAGATGTCGTCAACGAGCTGTTAGAAAAGATTAAAGAGGCACAAGTTCAGAGAGAGTGTCTGGATTATGTGAAGAACCAATACGGTGTGTCTTGGAATGATGATGGATTGCTTTTGTTCCAGCGGAGGATTGTGGTTCCTCGAGGTCCGTTGACAGAAGAGGTTATGGCAGAAGGCCATAAGGGTCAGTTTTCTATCCACCCTGGTGCTACTAAGATGTATCAAGACTTGAAAAAGAACTTCTGGTGGCCGGGCATGAAGAAAAACATTAGGAATTACTTGAGAAGACTTATTTATAGTTGGAGATTGACAAGTAACCTTTAGATATGATTGGGTTCAATCACACTTTGCATGCTACATATTTGGTATGCAATTTTTCATTTCAATTTGTGGACATACTAGTTGCTGGACTAAAGAAAATGCAGCAGTCTTTAGGAAAATCATTTCATATCAAATTGCTTAAAGTTTAAAGAACATTAATTGATAATAATTTATATGGACCTGTCTAGTGTTTTTGTGAATTTTATATTTTTAGTACTGTTTTCCAATAAATCAGTACTGAGTTGTGAATTTTGTTTTTGCATTGGAAATGAAAGCACTAAGAAGGAGATAGGTAGCATGGTGCAAGATCCAACTATGGCATTATTTACAAAATGACTTGATTTTTGTGATTCTTATTTTAGGTTCATTAAAATGTAGTATCAGCACTGATTTCTAAGTATTTTTTAGTAATTAAAATATGTAAAGTTATATGAACATGTTAGAAATACACCTATTCTTAAAATAGGAGAAAGTTATATTGACAAAGTTTTTTTTGTTTATGTTAAGAGTGTTAGTGTTAATAGTGTAGAAGTCCCACATTGAGTGTGTCTCTTTGTATTCTTCAATTGGTTTGCTATATAATAGCACCAATGTTGTGTAGTTTAATACAACAAGGATTACTATCATTTTCTCTTGTATCTATGATATTTAACATGGTATCAGAGCATGGATGGTGTCAGAATTAACATGTTAAGAGTGTTAGTGTTAATAGTGTAGAAGTCCCACATTGAGTGTGTCTCTTTGTATTCTTCAATTGGTTTGCTATAGCAAACCAATTGAAGAATACAAAGAGACACACTCAATGTGGGACTTCTACACTATTAACACTAACACTCTTAACACTCCCCCTCAAGCTGTAGCATATAGATCATATGCTACAAGCTTGATACATAAATAATACTCCCATTAGGAACCAAAAACAACAATGCTACATCAACGAAATGAAATAACTAAGTACAACAAATCAACTGGAATGACCATCAGTGTGAAGAGCTGATAAAGAGACAGTGTTGAAATGAACATCAACATGGAAGATGCCGGAATGATCATCGGCAAAGACAATTGTGCTGGAATGACCATCAACAACATGGACGGTGCTCCCCCTCAAAAGGAACTTCTAAACAGTGCCGAAATTATCATCGGCAAAGACAATTGTGCTGGAATGACCATCAGCAACATGGACAGTGCTCCCCCTCAAGAGGAACTTCTAAACAGTGCCAGAATTATCATCGGCAAAGACAATTGTGCTGGAATGACCATCAGCAACATGGACAGTGCTCCCCCTCAAGAGGAACTTCGGTATCAGCGGAGACAACATCAGCAACTTGGACAGTGCTCCCCCTCAAGATGGATGATGAATAGTATAAATACTCCATCTTGGGAAGAAAGAAGATTAAAGAAAAACAAAGCTTCGCGGAATCGGAAAAGTCGTCAGAGACGGCGGTGGGTCGTCGGAAA